CGCCACAGCACACACCTTCACTCACGTTTTTTGATGTATGCAGAAAAAACTCTTTTTTTTCGCTTCTTTCTTTATATAAGAAAATTCTATAACAGTTTTGGCCATTATTTCACGTTTTACATTTCTCCATCATCTCTTTTTTTTTTTTTTACACTTCACGTTCTGCACCCATTTTTGTCACGATCTGCACTTTTTTACTATCAGTTCACGTTTTAAAACGTACATTTTTAATCCCCCTTCTTTCTTTTTTTTATTATTATTTTTTTGTCAGCCCAAAGTTGGGTATGCACAAAGTTTTATTTCCTCCTCTCACTTTTTAAGGCCCATTTGTGATTCATCATCCAATGTACATATTTTTTTTTCCGCGAACATGTTGCTCTCTCTTTGCTCGAGATAGGAGAAAACAAAAATAAAAAATGAAAAACGACTAAAAATCGTTTTTCATTTCTCTCATTTTATACTAAATTAAAAAATCGTTTTCATTTCCTTTTTTTGTCTTTATTGCGCCAAACGCCGTTTTGAAAACGTTTTTATTTTTCTTCTTCTCGAAAAACGGGATCAATTCCAAATAAGGCAAATGTTTTCCACTACAGCTTAAGAAAATCAAGGCCAATATTTTCCGTTACTGCTTTAGAAACTTGAACACAATATTATTCCCCAAAGGAAGCATTTATAACTATTAGAGCTTCCTTTCCTTTATCTATTTATATTAAACAAAGCAGTAGTACTTATGCATTATTGGTCAGATAAGCTTCGACATTTTTAGTAGTAGCTGACAAAAGGTCCAGGTACTTAGTCGGTGCCGGGATACTGTCATTAAGCTTCTCATACTCTAGAGTCCATTTCACCGAGCTGCCTCCTTTATCACCCTTTGCTGTAACCTGAACCGTGGTCTTCATCGTCTTGTAGTACTTGGTGATCTCTCCATCCAATACTTTGAAAGTGATTTTCTTGTTTTCCTCATCTATAGCTTCAACTATCTCCTTACCACTCTCAGAATTTCCTACGTACGACCATTTTTACATGTCAAAGTCAAACAGTTAGCCTCTTAAACTATAGTGTATCGATTCAGTACTAACAATAAGAAGCTGATATGATATGCAAGAGTACTGATAATGTAAATAATGACGGATTCTTGAATAACTTTGCAAAAGATATCATCATTTCGAACTAGCTAGCTAGTTTCTTCAATTCTATGATGTGGTTTGACCGGTAGGATATAGTTTTGAATCGCCATATCAAATCAGATACTTTAAGTTATATGATTCTGGTGTTGATATGACGATTAAAAGCTGTATCTAATTTATCATGGAGGATTAATGTTCGGTGTATGCAGAATGCACACATATAAACATGTACTTCTTGTATGAATGTACATGTATTAACGTATACCTGCGACATAAGTCCATTGCTTGATTGAACCCAGAGACTCCCAATCACCCTTAATTACTTGTACATCCTTCAGAATGTCGAGGCATATTTTAGGCATCAGGTACTGTTTTCTGCGAAAGATTTCATAAAAGCTTTGAGCAGAGGACTTGATGTCCAATTGAACCTCCATCTTTGCTATTTGAGCCATTGTTTCTCTCGTAATCCGGAGAAAATTATTTTTTAGTAAGAGAAAGGCTGTGGGTTGGGGAAAACATGCCTAGTTTGGCTGCATTATATAGGAGCAGCCGAACACTTGAATAGACCTATTGCAAACTTGACGAAGATCTAACGGCTTAGAATTAATCCTACCCTATTTGTTGGGTATTTTTTGCACACCCTATCATAAATCTCTTTGAGAAATAATTGTCCTTTTCAGAATTATTATAAAGGAGCTTTATATGGTATAACATCCCTATTAGTAGTGATAGATTTTGAATGTTAGGTTAGATTGAAATCATCTATCAAATTTGATTTAGTGTACTAATTTTGGAATGAGTACCCAAAAACTGAACTTCATTATTTTTTACAGTTTAAAATAGTGTACTAATTTTGGATATCCTATCAAAAATTTCTCATATTATAGAACATAAAATATGCTATAAATGTTGGTCCATGCATCAAGACTCTGACTGAGAAAAGGAGCAAATTGCAACTTCAATTAAGCTCACTTCTTTTGTACTAAGGAGACGTTTAGTTCATGGATTAGAATCATAAGATTATAACCATTTTTGATTTAGGTGTATTTTTTATGAGAGAAAACACTATAGCGAACCATGAACCATGATTCGAATCGGGGTACAAATCTCCCAACCAAACAACCCTTAAATAATTTATACCAAGACTCCCCATCCCATCACTATGAGAGAGGAGAAAAAAGGGGAGACAAAGAGGGAAAAAAAAAAGAGACAAATGCAGAAAAACCTTTTTGGTGTGGGTTATGATTCTATCCATTAGAAAATGAGCCTATGCGAGAAAACACTATAAAAAAGTTGAATTTAAATTTTTATGAGAGAAAATACTGTAACAAAAAATTTAAATAGTGATTCTATATTATGTTTTTTAGCTTTTTTTTTTTTTGTCCTTTGGATTGTAATGATTTATTTCTCGTTTTCATTTTAGACACTTTTTGTATCGTTTGTTCTATCTAAACTAACATGAAAGAGCTAAAGAATTGCTTCTCCTTTGGCCATTTGTCAACTTCTCCTTTATTCCTTTTTGTTTTGTTTTGTTTTTTTACTTTTTTTTTCTCATTCTTTTCGCTTTTAGTTTCTTATTTTTTTTGGTTTTTTTGTTTTTATTTTGCTTAAAACTCCTATATAGTTTATTTTTACCTTTTCCTCTTTTTCTATTTCTTTTCACTTCAATTTTTTTTTTTTCGCTTAACACTCTTATACGGTTTATTTTTAGCTTTTCTTCTTTTTTTTTTCTTTTGCCTATTGTATTTTTTTTTTGTTTTTTCCCTAATATTATTTGATAGATTATTTTTTTAATAATATGTTTCTTTGGAATACTTTCTTTTAATTAAAATGCTTTTCCTCTTTGCTCCAATTAATGGACTTAGTTTTTAAAAAGAGCACGTGTTTTGACGTATGATCCTCATAAAGTTATTCTCCACGTGCATAGCACATAGCTTAATTAATTTTAATAAAAAGAGTGATGGACTTGGTGAATGATAAGTAGTTGTTTGGGTGTCAACCTAATTAGAATGTAAATTTCTACTATTGTGCTAGTTGTTCATTCTCATAAGTTTATTAAAATAAAAAAGCAGTAAATTCTTTTGTCAAAAGAGTAAAGAAAAAAATAATTTTGATCTAGCGAATTTATCTTGCTTTTCTTTTGTTGGGGACCTGCATCCATATTAAGTTGTGTATGTATCTGAGTTGAAAACCACAATGAAGGGAAAAAGGTTGAAGTTGCGCAAAAAGTAACTATATATATATTTGGCCACAATGTGGAAGGAAATCCCTTTATAATATTCCAACATGATTACCATTCACCACGAATGTGCTGATTCTTTTCTCAAAATTATATGCTCGCCTCCCATTAACCCCCTCCACTAGTTATGTAGAAAAGGAATTTGCAATGAGGCTATGATTGATAAGGCACCATATAAGTGATGATAAAATTCTTTTCCGGTAAAAAAAAAAAGAAAGAAAAGTGATGATATGATTAGTTGACGTCTCATAAGACGTAGTATTACTGTCTCAATATTGTGATGGTTTCTCTCTTTCAATATAAATTAATATATTAATTTTCCATACTAGTAAAATGTAATTTGTGATTTGCATGCAGCCTCGTAGTAAATTTAGACTTCTATCTCTAATTATGTTGAGGTCTTGAGTTTGAATCCCTGCTCCTAATCCCGGATAAAATAAGAATTATTTACTCTGATCACCCCTAAAAATATACACTAGTCTTAATTTGACCCCTCGACATTTATTTTTGAAGGTCTAACAACTGTGAGGTTTATGAAATATACAATCTCGATTTCTCGATTTAGTGACCAGTACTATTCTTTTTCAATTTCCTTTTTTCGTGCAATGCTTGATGGTCAGAAAACGAAACTTCTGCAGGAAAATAGAGGATTGAATGAAATAGATTTAGCAGTTGATGAAGTTTTCATGCTGAGACCTTATACCTCAATTATAAAGATGTGCTTGAATCTTGTGTCATTAAAGAATATTCTTCCGGCTCCATCTCTTCCCTACAGGGTTTATCTTTATCATATTATTCCATGCAGATGTTGACGGATATATATATATATATATATATATATATATATATATATATATATATTATATAACAATAGTCACAATTAATAACTAATGCATAACAAAATATAAGGACATGAATAATAAGTTGAATTTTATATCACCCTATAGTATGCTACGAAAAAACGAAATTAAGTTAGAAAGTAACCAAAAACGTGGAAAATGAAAGACCCAGAGTTTTTTGTTTTTTTTTTGGTTGCTCAAAACGAGAGGCCCAGAATCTTTACAGTTGCCCCCATTTGCAATATTGTTTTTGCTCTTTAACGTAAAGAGTTGTTGTCATTGTCCAAACTTCCAAAAAAGAAAATAACAAACTTGAAAGACCCTAGTTAGTTTGTTTTGGCGTAAATTATGCCATGCAACGAAATTCCATTTAATTTATCAAAAAGGGAAAACAAAAACAGAAAGAAGATTTCTGAATATGAAAATAAATACAAATAAAGTCAAAACTATAATAGAAGTAACTTTCACTAATGTGCCCACACCAGGTAGAGTTGCGTTAGGAGATTCCAACCTTGTAAGAACTTTTTGTTCTGTATTTTTTTTTTTCTCTTTTTCAAGAAAATAAAGACATAGAAATAGTAACATAATTAAGGACAACAATTATTGAGAGCGTATGGATGCAAGGCAGAGATGGCAATCGTCGGGAAGAGAAAGGCGCAAGGGGGCTAACCAGAATGGACTTGAGTAGTTGTATCTGGTCTCTGACTTAAGTAGTAACCTATACGTATGCCACGTGTATATAATCATAATTATATATATATATATCTATCTATACTTACTATCTATTACTATATTATATTATAAAGGAGAGTTTCTGTTTAGATACTATTCAAAAATTTGGTTTATTTATTTTGTCTTCTTGAATTTATTGTCGTCTTCTTCACCTTAATATATACCAAACCACTTGTTTGTTACAATTGACAACTTGTTTATATAATTCACCAAAAGAGCTTCTTTTTCATCTATTCTTACATACCAAGTGTGAATAAGTTCTGTACGGATTGTTATGAAACATTTCACGCGTGAAGGGGAATATGCGAAACATTTCGCAAAGATTTTTTCCCCAACATTAGGTGCTTGTTTTTTTTTTTTTTTTTTTTTTTTTTTTTTTTTTTTTTTTTCCCCTTTTTTTTTTTTTTTTTTTTTTTCCTTTTTTTTTTTTCCTTGTCCCACTTTTGTCTTTATTTCATATTATCCCTTTTTTTCTTTTTTTTTTAACAATTTATATAACTGTTGTCTAAAATTAGTCATGCGCGTGAAGCGTGCATTTTTCACTAATATATATAGGAGAATTTCCCTTTTCCATTGTTTAAAAACTTGGTCTCTTTATTTTGTCCTCTCATACTTTTTTTATTATTATTTTTCCTTCTACAAATGGCTTTTCCACACTTTTATTTTTTATTTTTTTTATGTTCATATTATTCACTCTTTCTCTTTGTTTTTTGTTTTTTTTTCTTTTTTCCCTTAAAATTGTCCTATACATTTTGTTGTGTCCATCTATTCATCGATTTTTCTTTCTTTTAATTTACTCTTACCAAAATCATTTTTCCAAAGACAGATCAATTTACATATATTTTAAATGGAAAACATATTTTTCTTTTATTATATTTCTCTAAAATATTATTCTGGGGAATAATATCATATATAATAACTTTTCTTTAATTTCTTATCTCATGCGTGTTTCTATTTAACTTGTCCTTGCTTTTACTTCGTCCTATTTATAGTTCTCTACTTTTTTTTTTAATCTACATTATATTATTTTTTACTTAGTTTTTAAAAGCTTCTATTATTAAATATGTATCATGAATATACCGTTTTTTACTCTAATTTGTCCATATTAAAATTAAAAAAATAATATTTATTTATTTTTTTTAGGAATAAATTCATAAAAGGTTCCTAAATTCTTTTCTCTCTCTAAAATTGGTCCCTATACTCAAATTTGTCCCATAATAGTCCTTCAACTAAAAAGTGTCTTATAAATGGTCCATCTATTAAAATTTTAGATGGAAGCCGTTAAATTAGATGGTGGTTATGATTTATGAGTTATTTTAAAAGTTCAATACTACTCTTATTTTTTGAATTATTTGGGGTTTCTAAATATTTTTTACTTCTTCAAAATTAGTTATTAAAATTTTTTTCTACAACTAATCTCTAAATTGTTATTTTTTATTCTAGTGAATTTATGTTTTTAAACAGATGTAATATATCTTACACAGTTAAGATAATTATTAGTCCTTACAATTTTCAAGTGTTATATAGTATATGTACTACCTTTTTGTTATGCACTTAGATTGCAACAACAATCAATGGTTTTATTTTTGTTTTGCAACTTTTACTAGTCCATGTATTGTGCATTATGTTTGTTCTTTTTTTT